CAAATTGTCATTAGGCATGCTGTTACATGCACGTCTAGTTTATACTGATGAGTTTAAGATTTCAGATTGAATGAAGGGTGATTTATTTTAATGCTGAATTTGAATAAGACTTCACAAAGATCACTTTAAACATTATGAGTCATTTCTCAGACAGGGCAAGAGAAGTGGTTTTGCCAGTAGTTGCCACATGTTACCAGTCTTAGAAAAGGGAAGTGTGAAGACATCTATGTTACTAAGAATTTCTGAATCACTACTGCTCATCTATGGACACTTTTAGCAGTTTTCATCAGTGCAGAATGAGCAGCTGTGTGGCTGGTCAGTATGAGTGTTGTCTGCTGTTAAACTCTTAATCAGAACAGTGAATCTCCTTCTGCTTCTGCCACCTTATGCTGTGCATGCATGAGTGTCTTTGTAGAGATTTTATGCAGGGGTGGGCTAAGGGGGCTGAAGCCCTGAATGTTTTTCAGTAGGCCTAAAGCCCCGAATGTTTTATTACTATGCCCTGTAAGCATTATCATTGAGTTCCCTTTCGAAAGGGAACTCCACGCTGCGTCCTCTAGAGGGCGCTAGGGGAACGCCTTTAACGTGACCGGTGTCTGAAGCATGAATGAAAAAACGACAATGAACTTGACATTGGCAGGCGGCAGCCTATGACGTAAACAATTAAGCGACTGCGGGTATAAAAGAACACCTTCGGAATACGTCATCCTCTTCGTCTTCAAGCCTTGTGTATGGAAGCACATGCGTCTGCCTCACGAGAGAGAAGGATGCGCTCACTGTTTGCATTCGCGGGACTACTAGAGGCAGAGGTCTGTACTCGAGCTTTGTCAGCATTTGCACGAGCGCGTTCGCCTCTCGAGGGAGTTGAACAAGCTTAATGTGATGCATTCGCGGCGGTTTCTGTTCTTGCCTGATTCTTGAGAGAACTTAGTGTTGGAACAGAGTGTGTTTGGCTCTCGAAGGAGATCTAGCCACATCTTGTTCAAGATGTGATCGCGTTGAGAATGCCTTGTATGCTTGATTCTATTTGA